CCCTACATTTCTCGGGTGTAATCTAGGATGAGTGTTTTTCACTTTGCTTTATTTTTGGTTTTTCACATACTTTCAGCAACAGGAAATTTTTCTTATTGTCTTTCAGTTGAGACAGTATTCCAAAGCACTAGAATACTATTCTATCACAGAATTATAATCTTATCAAGCTCCTAAAGGATGTTAGATTTCATGTCAATGTTCCCTCTTCATCACTCTCTTCCTTGTTTTTTCTTTTTCCTCCCTTATATCTCTCTTTTCCACACATTTCTCCATAAACTGTTTCGTATTGTGAAAAATGATGAAAAACAATTCTTGCAAGTGTTATTTTATTTTTATTTGTTTAGTTTTATTCTGAATTCTCTTATGTTAAATAGGAACATTTTCTCAATAGCACTCTTAAGTCACTTCTCATTTATCTTCCTCCTTAAGAACTGCATAGGCTTGTTTTAAATAGTTTAAACACCTGTAATAAACTACACTTTGCTAGGAGTAGAGGTACTCTGGTTAATGCTCAAAATGATGTGACCAGAGGAAAAGCAAGCATTATTAAATATGAATGCAATCCTTACCAATGCGAATTGAACTTTTTTCTTTTTCAATAAAAAAACTAGTCCAAAAAAAGTCTCATTCTATAAAGAATTATCGTTTCCAAATCACAGTGAAAGGAACTTAATTTACCAATTTTGTTTTTGCCTATGTGCCTTAAAGATACCTCACTAAAAACTGGTATCTGACACAACAGAATGACATATGCAGAATGTAATATTGTAGTGACAGTACTGAGGTTGATTGTTACAGACATATTTAAACTCTGTGTATTAAATGGTTATATCCTAATTATTTATATAGAAATTGGTCCAATAACTAAAATAGAGAAAAACAGCTGAAAATTTATCTCATTCAATGTTCAGAGATAAAATTGTTAACCATTCTTTCCATTATTTTCTGAAGATAAGTCCTTTATTTTTTTCATATTTAAATCTGATGGCAACTGAATTCTGGCATTTTTCCAAGCTACTGTATGAAGAGGATGCTGAAGGCCACCACAATACAGCATACCACAACATAAGGACTGTTCCGTTCACCAATTCTGACACACTTCCAAAATATACCCAACAGCCCAGTTTTATTTCTGTACAGAAGGCTGAGTGCCAAGGATTGGATATAAGCACAGGTACATAGGAACAGCAAGATTACAGTCAACAGACTCTGAAAATTGAAAATGGCAGACATAGTGAGGCAGGTGAAGCCCCAGCCACATCTCCCTTCTGGGCCCGGGGCAGAAGAGGCGTGCAAAGGGGGAAGAGACTTTCAGGTTTGGCTTGCCTTTCTCGCTCCTTCTGCAGTCTGCAAGCATTATTTTAATATGGCTTCATCACTGAGTCCAGGGCATTCCTACTATGTGACTTAACTATAGACAGCTGTTCTGAATTATAAAAAAAAAACATTTTTTTCAGTCCAGTTAAGTCAAAGTTGTCAAGAAAAATCAATCACAGATGTTTCAAATCCTGGCCAACATAAGTCTTCAGTACTTATTTTTTATACCATTCATTTGGAGCAAAGCATACGCTACCTTATATTTTAAATTATTTTTAGAATTCCCTTTCCCCTGTACTTCATTATAAGCTTCAGTGCCGACATAGTTCAAACTTCCTTGCAGACCTTGTATCTAACCCTGCACACAACATATGTTCCATATGTATTTTTTAATTCAAACTAATTCAAATCAACTAACATGTTTTGAGTGCCTTCTGTGGTTGACTCAAATAAGAAAAAAGAATAGGTTGTTTTTATCTCGGAATCATAAAACCAACTTTCAGGGGATTGTGTACGTTTTGGAAAGAAAAGGCTTGTCCTATAACTAATGCAAAGTTGCCTAAAAATAGTGGTACATGAATATGCAAAGTAGGACATAGAAGAACCTGGTTACTTTATCTAACTTGATAAAAACATTAATGAAACATTACCTTTTGTGACTTTTCTCAGAGGGAGACATTCAGGTTGACTGACATTGAAAGTAGTACATGGTAGATGATCAATAAACATTGACTAGCAGAGATGGTTTGTGAACAGGCAAGGAAAATGAAACGGCCAAAAAACTCAAGGTTAAGGAGAGCCTAAGCAAATTACCTGATTCAATTAGAACACAGGGAGTATGAAGGTTAAAAGTGAAATTAGGCATGGTGGTAGTATTTATACCATGGAAATAGACAAATAATTCAAAGTAAATTAGAGCTCCCTTCCCCTCTCCTCTGCAGAGCTGGAGATAATCAGATTTCTGATTTTTCCCCACCAAAATGTAGATTTTCTTTGCTAAAATTTCATAAAAATGGAATAGTAGAGTATGCATATTTTGATAAGGTAACTTAAAGACAGCTGAATACTTGAGATTTATTCTTATTTCTGCATGTATCAGTGGTTTGTACCTTTTTATTGCTGATTAGATTTCCAGTATACAAATATACTACAGTTTAAGTCATTTTCCTATTAATAGATACTTGGGCTGGTTCTAGTTTGGGGCTGTTATGAGTAAAGCATTTTTATGAAAATTCTTGTACAAATATTTTTGTAAACATATTTTTCAATACTCCTGGACAAAGATATAGATTTCCTGAGTCATCTGGTAGATGTATGTTCAAGTTTATTAAAGAAAAAAAAACAAAGCAAGCAACAACAAAACATCCCTTAGCCAAAGTTGTTGCTCCATGTTATGTTTTGCCAAAAATGCATGGTAGTTAGTTGTCTTATATCACCTCCACAACGTTTACAGTTTTATTATGATATATCTTGAAAAGGATATCTTTAAATTGGCTTTCTTTGGTGATCTGTGAGCTTCATGAAATTTGATATCTAAATCTCTCCCCAAATTTGGGAACTTCTCAGTCATTATTTCTTTAAATAAATTCTCTGCTCCCTTCTCCTTTTTTTTCTCCTCTTCTCCTTCTGAAACTCCAATAATTTACAGATTGGTTCTTTTGATGTTATCTTATGGATCATGAAAGCTTTCCTCACTCTTTTCTCTTTGTCCACTCCAAGGAGAGTAATTGCAAGTTCCTGCCTTCAGTCTCACTGATTCTGTCTTCTGCTTGATCAAGTCGGCTGTTGATGACCTCTATGGCAGTTTTCATTTCATTCATTGTTTCTTCAGCTCCAGAATATCTATTTGAGTTTTTAAATGATTTCTATACTTCTGTTAAGCTTATATTGACCATGTATAGTTTTTCTGATCTCATTGAATTATCTGTGTGTGTGTGTGTGTGTGTGTTGTAGCTCATTGAGTTTTCTTCAAATAGCTTTTTTGAATTGTTTATCTGGTAAAATGCACATCTCTAACTCTATGAGCTTAGTTATTGGTAAATTTTGATCCTTTGGTATCATACTTCCTTGAATTATTTCATGGTTTTGAAGTGTTGCATTGCTGATTATATTTGAAATATCAACCACCTCCTCCAGTCTTTACCGACTGACCTCAGGAGAGAAATATTTCCTATAACACTGGTAAGGAATCTGAGGCCTTATCAGATCTTCTAGGCATACACCTGCCCTTGTGTCATGTAGCTCATTATTCTATATCCTGGATTGGGGTGAGAAAAATGAGCCCCTTTGGCAGCATCCTGTATAGATGGGGAAGCCAACCCACTCACACATTTTCTCTTTGTCCTGAGGAAGAATTCACAGGATGAGGAAGATCTCTCTTGACCTTAAGCTGTGTCCTCTTGGAGGAGGTGTGATGCATGTAAAGTTACATGGTTCCTCTTACTATCTCCAAAACATCCAAACTCATTCTTTTTTTTCCTCAAATGGTCTGCTGGAACTTTTTCTCTAGAAACGTGGACTTCTACAAAGGCTTTCATCTGTGGACAATTGACTGTGTCACTGTTTTCCAGGGGCTCCTGTGCTGTGGCCAAGAGAAGCTGGAGCTGGTTCATGAACCACTGCAGGGTCCACATCTAGGACCAAAGCCTGGCTGCCAACTTCCCAATGCATAGGTGGCCCAGATTCTTCCCAGGTCCCTTGGTGTATGATGTTGTACCACAACTTCCTCAAAAACACTTTTTTTCCATGGATGGATGTCAAATTTTTGTTGTGAGGGACATCTTATGCTACCATAAATGTTTATATCACCTATGCATTTTATCTCAATTGTCAAATTTATTGGCATAAAATTATCCACAGTATCATTGTTTTATTCTCTCAGTGTCTGTCAGATCTGAGGTGATGTCTTTTATCCCTAACTTTTCAGTCTCTTTGTAGTTAATATTGTATTAATTAAATATGTGTTAACCTTTAATTAATATAGACTTTCATCTACTGTTCTCATTCTTTTTACAGTACTAGATTCTCTTATACTAACATACATTATAAACAAGAAAAGAAAACACAATCCTTTTTGTTTCAAACAATCCTATGTAGTTTAAATAAATAAGAAAGAAACAATGCTTACTAAACATTTACCATTTTTTATTCTCCTCATTTCCAACCTGAAGAACTTCCTTCAGAATTTCCTATAGTGCTTATCCAATGGAAATGAATTCTCCATTGCATTTTATATAAAAATTAATCTATTCCATTTTCAGCGTCAATGGATATATTTGTTTGGCTGAAACTATGGTTTGATAATAAATCCCTTCCAAGACTTTAATGATGTTTTCCAATGCTTTCTGGACTATATATTTTTGATAAAGTCAGCATTCATTCAAAACTTTTTCCCCCTATGTGGAACTATCTCATCCTTATATGGTCTATTTCAAGGTTTTCCTTTTAGCTTTGCTTTCACCAGCTTGATTATGACATATCCCGGAGCAGACTTATTTGCTTTTATCTGCTTGGGTAATTTTGTCTTTAGCTGAAGACTGCTCATAGGACTAGCACAGGGGGCAGAGACTCAAAAAGTTTATACAAAGAATTTGGTGTTATCCTATCTGGGTACTTCTTTTCTGGGATTCTCTTCTCTCTTTTCTGCAACATTGGTTGCCCTGAACTTTGGGGATTGAAGTTTCATGGCCAGAGTAGCTTTGATTGCAGGTTACCCTCAGGCTAAAAGACATAGGAACTGATACTTCACCCTTCCTATTCCCTTTTTCTATGTGTCAACTCCCTTATTGATCAGCTTGCTTTTGTTCACACTTCACAGAATTTAGGTGATTGCCTATTCCCTGCCAGATTTTATGGTTGTTATCTGGTAAAGGGACAGTTCTGATAGACACTAGTCAGCTCTACTGAAAGCAGGACTCCAAGGGTATGAATTTTTAATAAATAAATAAACCATCAACTTCTTTAAGTTTGGTGAGTAAAATTCAAGCTAGCTGACTCATTTTGTACTGCTGCTGGGCTCACCAAACTGGAAATAGAACCAATTTTGTACTCAATATAAAAGAAAATATAATATGAAGAAACTATCTAGTAATTTCCTGTGAGAGGTTTTACTTTTCATAAAGGCAATTTGGGGGTCATCCTAGATAATAGTATCATTTTATTTAATGGCAGAATTTTACCACTTTTTCCTTCTAAACTTCCATAAGACTTACAATATCTCTCATTTTTCAAATGAGATACTAAGGCCAAGAGAAGACTGATTTCACTATAAAAATATAATTATGGATTAGTTTATAAGAATCTCAGTCCAGTTGATTTTCAAATCAATCAATTCAACAAATATTTACTGAGCATATTTGTTAGGCACAGTATATAAAGTTAAATTTTTAATGGTTTCTTTCCTTGAGAGATTAACATTTTAGTAAATGAAGGCCGTCAGACATATACAGAAATATTTTTATTTTTCCAAGTGTGTGATATGAGAGTTATAAACACAGAATGCTATAGAAACACATAGATGGGAAACCAAACCCAAAGTTGTCATGAAAGGAATGAGGTGTGTGTCATTCATTTGTGTCTTACTCTAGACAAAGATAAAAGAGCTGATTCTTAAAGGATCATTATAAGTTAGTCAGCTGAAGAACTGGAGCTCTTACTTCATTCAGGTCATTGTTCCATTGTTTCAGAGAGCTCTTTCTTGAACACAGCAAACTTGCACCACCCTTCCTAGTACTTCTTCTTCTCTCTCTCCCTTGTTTTATTTTACTTTTTTCCAAATTACTTGCTATATTCTAGCATGTTATATATTTCCCTCCTTTTTTGCCCCTCACTCCCAACTAGTATGTAAGTTGCCTAAGCATAGAGTTTTTTGTCTATTTTATTCACTGCTCTATCTAGACTGTTAGAACACTTTCTGAGACATAGCAGTTTCTCCAATATTTGCTATATAAATG